TTCCATTAACTGACAAAAAAACCTTGGACGTTTTACCTTAACGCCTTCGATGGCCACATCTCACCTACGCTGCCAATAAAGCTTACCTCGGTGGAAAAAAATCCGTTGTAAGTCCTAATAACGGTCGTTTAACGTTTTCAATGTTGATGTTGCTGAAGTGATTGAAATGAAACTTTTGAAATATTCATTGTATTAGTACTTTTTTTTACAAGATTACGACATCAATTATTATAATTTGACCATTGTCTGGCCTGTTGGTTTGCGTACTAGAGTTCATATGGTTAAGGTTCGAATACCGTAAGGGACATATGAAACAGACNTAAAAGAGTTTTCTTTGTAAACCTATTTATTTACTGGGTGATTGTTGGAAAACAATACATATTTGTGAACACAAATAGACGTTATACAAGAGTTGAGTAACAGGAAACAATGTTAACTGTTACATACTACTTCTTATAAACATTTTCTGGAGTAGGTGCAGTTTAATAAAGTGCAGCAATGAACCCGGCTGAAAATAAAACGCGACGAAGTAATTATTCGACATTAAAGTTAGGATTAAAAAGTAACGATTTAAAATTGAAGTCATTTTATATGAACCGCGGTACGATCATTGTACGACGGGAGGCTGCCGGTCTGAGATTTTGGGATAATATGGATAATCCACGCCGCTCGGAATGAAGCCATGGAGCGATCCTTTGCCGTTCATCCGACTCGAAAATTATTTATTCATTGCCTTGTTTATGATTACGACGATAATATTGTGTATATACAGAGTTGTCCCGACCTAAATGGCAGCTGGGACACCGAGCCGTTTTAATCTGCGGTCGAGACAAAAGAAAAACTAGTTTAAACTTTTTTCAACGCATACTCTCCTTGCGAATAATGCAGTTCCTGTACCAGTGGAGGTAAATGAAAGCGCATTTTGTTGGTGGACTACCGAAATATGTATTTAATTAGTTTAGATGACCAACTTTATTAATTACTATTGTAACTTCATAAAGGTTCATTTTAATTAGCTACAATAAAAAAATAAAATAATTTTATAGTTCAATGGTAGAGAAAAAAGAGCTCTATGGAATTTTAATTACATTTAGGTCTCGTAGGTTACTAAAACAAAAGCGAGTTAAGAAATATTAAGGTAATATTGTGGACATGAAAAATTAAAGCTTTTTATGGCTTTACGTAAAAAGTTTATCACAAAAATAAAACAGAGAACTTATGACGTAGTTACTAGTGAAATCCTACTTAGGCCCAGTTTTTTGATTCGTAGTTAAAATAACAAATTGTTAAATTTTGCTACTAATGGTTAAATATTAACAAAATGTTAACTAATAGTTAAAAAATGTACTAAAAGTCAAGCTAACCATTGTTCAAAAAACATTTTTCTCTGATATTTAACCACTTGTCATTTGACATCTGTCAAATTTGACTATTGGTTATTTTAACTACGAATCAAAAAACTGGGCCTTAGAATATCAAAAGATCACAAAAGGTCAAATGTTGAACAGACTATCCATACCATACTTTCTGAAATGGCACCCATAATATTGAACTCTCAAAAGTACCGATTCACAATATCTACTTATTATACCTTTTTACTCTTGCCTTTGGAGGCGAACATTTATTACTATCTTATTGCTCCGGAGTGCTTGAAGCCATACTGGGAGCAGTCAACAAGAGGTTATTATGTTGGTACTGGCTAAAAATGAGTAAGAAAAGCATTGCACTCCGCATCGGTGCGGGACGTAAAGGAAGCAACTTTTTTGAAGCAACTTTTTTACGGCCAACCGTAAACTACGCTGCTTTACTTTTTTGAAGAAACTTTTAAATGTGGGGTAACTGCTACCAGATTTTTTTAATAGCGGAGTGAAAGATGTTGTGCTTCAGCGAGAATATCGACTCGAAACTTTTCTTGGTAATTGAAAACTTTAAGGACCGTTTGGTAATGTCCTAATTTCTACTTAAGACTCGATGTTTTGTTCTTAACAGATTTATGCCCCTACTGCTAATTAAAGGACGAAATATCAGGCTACAGACTAGTGGTATATTAAGAAGTCGATGTGTAGTCTGATCGCTGTTGATTGCCTAAATAAATCAATAAACTTTGCAAACATATTTGGACGATATAAAACTCTGTGAAACGAAATATCCGTGAAAAGTCAAAACTAGAACCATGTCATGTCCCAGTTAATGTACGTTAGGCCTATTTATAACGCGGCAAATATTAAAATACCGCGGAACCTAATTTGACTTCCAAAACACTGTCGCTTGCAACAAAAACCAATAATCAGATACAGATACGAGTTATTTGTTGGTTTTAAAAGCATTGTGCGGCAAAGAAACCTCGTTGTTATGGCATAATGCGTAAAAAGGTACATTCGGGTGGATTTATGAAGGAGGCCTCGGTTGGTTTATGATGACAATGCGGCCGGAGTGCCGCGAGCGCCACCTCATTTCCGCGCTGAAAGTTATAAAAACATATTGAAAATGAGATTCCGCTGGAAGACCTAGCGAGTGTTATCTTGTTTTGTGATTTGCCTGTTTTTATGTACGCTCGCGGGGAAAATAAACTTATTTCTGGCGGGACCTTTACAATTCGCGCGGATAAATTTCACGCTTATACCCTGCCGGGAGAAACATACTTTTAATTGGGTGCTCACTGGAAATACTGTACGTTTACATCAGCGATTACAAAGGGCTATTCCGACTGAAAAATGTTATGTTACGCGCATAGATTAATCTACTGGATATGCAAATGAATGTGGAATGACAAAAAAACGAAATGTATGTATAAGTTTGTAGCTAAATAAATGGCCTTCGTAGCCCGTATGTACCAAATATAGCAAACAAATTAAAATGTACCTAGTTAATTTTGAAAAAGATTTATTAGTTGAATTATTAAGTAAGCCATCCTACAGCTAGCAGTGTTTTGGCACCCCATCAATTCAATTTTTTTTCTTCATCCTAAAATAATTAATAATACTATCGCAGCGTGGGACGTCCACCTACAAGGTGGACCGACAACATCGTAAAGGTAGCAGGGAAGCGCTGGACACAGGCCGCTACCAATCGAACAACACCAATCGAAAATGGAAAGCATTAGGGGAGGCCTATGTTCAGCAGTGGACGTCCTATGGCTGAAATGATGATGATGATGAAAATAATTAATTCCAATCCATAAACTTTAAATGGCTGACTAGGTACAAAAAAAGAAAGAGCTCTAAACTTGATCCAATTCAATCCAAGACATAAAACATCTTCAGGATTCCTCTTATTCGTAATTCTCAAGAAAAAAAGGTACAGAAGGCGACATTTTATCTAAACACAGAAAGATCGTATGTAGTTGAGATAAGTACTATTTCGTAAAAAATATATAATATACTCATGAACTGTGGACTGTACAAAGAGACTAACGGAAAATAATATTTAGGTACGAAAGCAAACACGTATCCAATACGAGGAACTCTGGATAAATTTAAATCCAAGTTTATTCGGTGTAATGTTAGTAAATTAGAGTTCCTGAAGTAACGTGTACGCACGTGAAAATGTCATATAATTTAGTTAACAACTTTGTTACTCCCATTACTTGCTATTTAGCTAAAGCTCGCTTTACTGAGAGCGGATCTAATTATAACGTGCAGGTTAGGTAACTAAGCTGTGCTGCTTCAACACACTTTTAGCTTTCTAAATAATTAATGCACTTATTTGAATTTAAAAATGCTGCGAAGATAATATTCGCATATTTAAATTAGGCGCTTGTTTTGCATGTAAGAGTCCTTGTAAGGCAGTCTTATAAAAGTCTCTAGCTATAGTCAAATTTTAACGAAATACTTGTAAGTTTTACCAGATAGTTGTATTTTTTTCGACTAACTTAACAAAAGAAACCATCGTCAACAACAAGATTTCATTTAAAAAGATATTTTATGAAGCGATACAAGTACGAACAACGGCTTATCAAGCTTTTACTTTACATTGTAATGGTACCTACGAGTACCAATTAAGCGACATAAAATCTAACCCCCTTATTAAAAATGTTATACCCTAGTTGAAGTTGTCATTTAGTATGGAAATGTCATTTTAATCCAGAGTTCATCCTAGGTGTAACATTTTATTAATAAGGGGGATAGTGTTTAGTATGTCCGAAAGGTGGGAGTAAGTACCTAGAAAGAGATGATAAACACAATTAACTGATTAGATAGGTAACTAGATTATAATGAAAATTGTATCACTTTAAGTACACGTGTGCTGTGCATTGTGCATATACGCTGCAGTAACGCACTTATTGACACAATAACGCAGTCAAAGACAAGTGCATGCGATGACGAGATCAAATTGCTTGTGCCACGGCTTTATGCACGAAGTAGTCAGTGTATGCACGTCACTGTACTGATTTAATGTCGCGAACACACTGGCTTTGAGATATAATCACGTTTGATATCAAATGTTAAACGTTAATGTAAGGCAGACGTAGCTAAACAGTTGCATTGTTAATGAAGACTAAAGCCTCAGTCAAACGGCTAGCTTAATCTTGACTTAGTGTACCTTTCTGCTTTTAAATTCTTAATAAGTATTATTTAATAACCACGTATAACGCATTTGTTTTGAAGTGTCAAATATTAATAATAATATTTGACACTTCAAAACAAAGGCGTTCCAACCGAAAATCGGTCAGTGAAATTCTCAAACAAACTTACCATCAAAATGATAAATTTAATTACAACCTCACATTTCCTTCAGCCTCTTCAACTTTGAAGTATCAAAATGAATTCCAATAACAATTAGATAAACGGCGTCAATTAGCGTCGTGACGGCGAGTTAAAAAGACGGCGGAAGACAAAGCTCGTTACGTTATCCGTGTGAAAGCAACTTGCTGTTGTCAGTTAAGGGCCACGTAGCAAAGAGTGTCTTGTCAAGCGCCCGCCTCAGTGCGAGCCACCCTGCGACTCTGGGCGGACGCTACGCCGTAGCAGCGCGCGCTACGATCCCCGTAGCGACTACGAACTTTGTACAAGTTTGTAAAAGCGTGTGTTGATTGAGGAATTAGGTGTGGATTTTTAAATAAGGATTAGTAAGTATTGACGTTTTTTGGATTTATGTTGTAGATAGTTGTAAAATTTGTGTGGTTTTTTAAAATAATTTATCGGGCTTCGGATTTGGTTTGAAATAATAGGATTACGAACAATTGTAGTGAATTTAACGTGTTTTAGATAATCGTATTTCCAAAAATATTGTTTCGCTTTCATCAACATTTAATATTTATTTTATTAAAAGTTTTACAGTGATTTTAAATTAAAAAGTATAAAATTTTATAACAATGTGTGTTTTAATTTAAAAATACTCATAAAGGTTTAAGATTACAATTTTTAAAGTAAAATATTTTATCAATAATTCCGAAACTTTTGTTCAATTAAAAAATATAATTGTATTATATTTACTACAAACTACACAGAAAATTGACTTAAAAATAAGTCTGTAATAATAACGAATGAAACCCTCGAAATAACGAATCGTTTGTAGACCGACTGAATAAATAACATTCGATACAGAAACAAAATCGGATCGCGCTAAATACACGCACTCTGTAAAACGTATAAATATACCTCATTAGAAGGAACATATTATAACTATGTCGGGTACCGTAAGTCAAAATAACGAAGGAAATTACGTCAGTGATTCCGAAGAGGGCTCATTTTATTTCGGCTTCCTTTGTTTTCTCTCGTCAAATCGCTTTACGTTGCCAGTTAGTAAGATGAAAGGAAAAATAATTAGTTCTGATAATGTGCGATGCTTTGAGCGATCTAATGCGAGTCCCGAAATTAGCTTTGTGCTTTTCGACTAGTGTATAGACAATGCTCTCTTTAATTATTGTTCGGTGGACGTTTCGACTTAATTATTATTGATTGATTTAATTACTTAGAACTCTTCACGTATCCATTTTCGTTACGTTTGTAGACGCTTTCATTGTTTGTTGTACCTACTCGTAGATCCGAACCGAATATGAAATATTTAACAAATTTTTCAATGAAATAAATTAACTGCATAGTTGTAAATAAAGACATAATGATATGTATATTCGTCTGTTATTGTCGTTTCCTAAAATAACAACAAAAAAGAAGGTCTATTTCTATATTTTCGTAAAAGTAGTGTCATCATCATCATCATCTCAGCCATAGGACGTCCACTGCTGAACATAAGCCTCCCCTAATGCTTTCCATGTTGCCCGGTTGGTAGCTTTCGTAAAAGTAGTGTACATTATATTATGTAAAAAGAGTAACTTAAGCTGTTTCAAACAGCTTAAGCTACACTTTTTACATAGGTACCTAATAAGATTTACACTTCAGTTTTATATTTCCAACATAAAAAGCAAAAATCATAACGCTTAACTAATTTTTATACAAACACAATTAGGCTCGTATTTTGAAACAACGCTAAAGTCCACTTAAGAATAGATTAAGCCTATGATTGGTGCAAATATTGAAATTCAAGCACTCGCCTTAAATCTGTACTTGACTTTGAATCGAGCTAGAACTTCGTTTGATATAATAAGACCCTTTTTACTTTAAAGAAAATTCTTATTTAACTGAAGAATTACTTTTACCTACCACAACTATTATGCAGAATGCAGATATACCTAGTACCCATATCGCTATAAGCATGTCAAAAGATGTTTCCTGTAATAGAGTATTTCAAAAAAATACGCAAACAATGATAAATAAATCCAAATATCCGTAATAAAACGACAACACATACCTTTTAACAGTACTTAAACATTCACGCGTGTCCGATGCCCATATTACGTAACTTTTCATTACAAAATATTCAACTGCAAATAATGGAACTTCACGTCACACCGCGTCAGAATAGTTTCACCGTTTCATACTTTTAAATTAATCCCAGAATTGAAATAAACTTTAGTTGAATTTAATGCCAGCCGAGCTGCCGGGCTGGGTTTAAACATACCTAGTTTTGGCATAGCCAGCGGTTAAATGTGTAGAATAGCCCACTGCGGGCTATTTACCAAATAAACAGTTTTAGTTCAACCATTTTCAATGACAATGGGAAGTTTAAGGTATCTAGGCGGATATTATTGTTGACCTTAATCCTTTATTGCTGAAGTTTGTATGAAAAGAATATTGTGCATTGAAATACATTTCGAAAAATAAAATTTATTAATGTTCAGTGTGCTTACCATGAGTTTACGTTAGGTGAGCTCGCTAGCGAGTAGGTACGTCAAAAAATTATATGAAGATTTTATTTCTTGAAAGTAGCCGCTAGGGGCGCCGTACAATATGTTATACATTTAATGTCATTATTTTACGCAGTCGCTAGCGAGCACACCTAACGTAAACTCATGGTAAGCACACTAGTCTTTAACCTACCTTTAGGCTGAGTTGCACCACCTAACTTTGACCATAACTATTACGATAACCGGTGCTTTTTGTATGGTGTTTGACAGATTTTTGACGTTTGTCAAAGTTAAAGTAAGATGGTGCAACCCAGCCTTAATCTACTATCTTTCACAATATAAACTCGAATCAAAAAAATTCAGAATTACGTTTTCTGCAACTCGTGCTAAAGCTTTTATTGATTCAATATCCAACGCTACATGATTTATGCATTAACTTCATGAAATCTTTAACAAACGCACAACCTTTTATAATACGATTGTAATAAACTCTGAACGTGATGCGAATTGCAAAAACATTAAATATTAGGTCCAGTATCAAGTACAGCAGAATATTGGACTAAGTAATAATTTTGTTCTAAGTTACGAGCCAATAAAATAGCAACGATTTCTAGTTGGAGATTTTTTCACAAATGTCTATTACTTCGAAATATCCTTTCGAAGCCAAATTGATAGATATCAAATAACATACAAAACGAATTATTCGAATTTCATTCTACGTAAATCCAATTTGTAAATCGACCTTCAATTTGGGTTTTGTGGGAGATATCCCTGTAGATTTCTAATATGGCAACATCCATTCGTAGCTGAGCTTTTGAACTAATCTGGACGTTGTAGAGAATCTATTAATAGAACTAATTGCAAAGAATTAGGATAGAATAACAAACAAGTCTAACATTATAATTTTGTAGGAGGGATACGCTGGTTGAAATGTTGAAAGCTGTAACAAATTAATCCTGTTTATTCCCCTAGGAGTAGATTCATACAATTACTGTTTAATTACGCCGTCACTGCTGAACAGATGCGGACGAACCAGAACCGCTGTATACACGGTGACTGGAACTGAACCCGCCATAGCTAATAGGCGTATAGAGGAGGTCATTTNATGGCGGGTTCAGTTCCAGTCACCCTGTATAATAGACTAGAGGTACAAAATAAAAGGGATCAGAAGGTCTACTTTAGAGAATGAAGAAGTTAAGTTGAGCTAAGATTTGAATTTAAAAATGCGCATTATGAAAATCATCTTCTTTCCATACTAATTTAGAATGGAATAAAATGGAAAGCAGATTAGATGTAATAGTCTTCAATTTCATTAAAGTTTAGATTATACTATTATACAGAATGTTTCTGTAACCGCAAAAAGAGAGTAAATATTATAAGAAAAATCTCACGAAATATTGCAAAATTATTCAAATCTAGAGGTATAAAAATGTCCCTTCAATCTTATGACTAATAGATATCATTACTTCCAGCCTTAGCACTCTATTTGGAAAGCATTTACAAATCCTATTCGATCAAAAGCATTTTCGTTATAGGGTCGCACTTCTTACTATCAAAGATACCATCGTCTTCTGTGCCTAAGTAGGTACGTAAAAGTTATGAAATATACTCAACATCAAATAAATCGCACCTTCCGCGACGCGAACTTTAAAGATTTTCTTCTGACACAATCATGGTACCCCAACAATATTGGTGTTATTTGAAAGCCCAATAAATAAACTTAACGAAAAACACATTTAATTTTTTTATAAACAATTAACAGGTACCATAAATGTGACTTGAAAAAAGGCCTCCCTTGGGGCTCACCTATGGGACCAAGTAGACCAATTTTTGTGGTTATAAAACCAAATAATGATCTTACGTGTCCTTTTTAACAGATGGATAGCAATTAATCCCAATTTAACAGTTTTATAGCCATAAAATTGGCTCAAGCGTAACTACCTATTTCTTGAAGAAGTGACTCTGAATCCTTCTAAATACACATTTTTGGGGTAAAAACCTTTCGTTTAATGAAATGAAATTTAGAACTAGGCTTTCAAATGTTACCAATGTTGGTGGGAAGTGGGGATGCATACGTTTGAAAAGTGCTTGTCGCAGGAGGTGCGATTTATTTGATGCCGATTGTATTTTTAAAAAACATAATGCTTCAATCACACCAGCGCGTGCAGATTGCCATTGCCGCCGGCACGATCACGGTGCGATCATAGGCCAATGACAGGTCGCGCGGACTGTCATGGGTCGCGCGACCTGTCATTGGCCTATGATCGCGCCAGTGATGGCGATCTGTACGCGTTGGTGTGATAGAAGCATTATGTTTTTTTAAAATATTTCATAACTTTTACGTACCTAGGCACAAACGACGATGGTACCTTTTGGTTGAAGCTTAAGTAAAATACATGAAAGTTGTCAAAAGACGAGCTTACTGCATTATTTATGTTGTGGCTATAGACTGCAGTAATTCCAGTTTTTGTTGAGATTAGTTACTTAGCCGGACCGTTTTGTCGGAGTCACGGGTGTTCGACCCTAAAGTTTCCCTGTCCGGTAATTACTTACCGATCAATTGTAGGTGTTATCCTAAACACTTTGCTAATTAGGGAGCTGGAATGTTGGTTCTATTGATAGAGATAGCAAACTTTCTCGGCTTTGAAGCCTTGATTCTCCTTCCCAGGTAGAGTGTATACCTACTCCAAAAGAAAATTAAGAGTACTTGATTTGACTTATAGGATTTGGTTACGGTACTTTTCTAAAGTATAGCCAGAAGTTACATAGTTTATAGCTTGAGCAGTGAATACTTAGTTCCGGGGGTAAATTAAACTGTCATCGGACCTTCGACCAAATTAATCAAAAGAAAATTCAAGTTCAAAGCTAAGGATTGAATTCCC